AGCGTTGCACTGTGGCCTTGTAGAAGGAGGATATACCAATAAAACAACAAACAAGGATTTCCAGTGAGTATATCACCTTTCCTATTTCCTAAGTATAATATACAAAGAAACATTCAATCATAGTATAATGTACAAAAAAATATACATTGAATGCGCATATCGAATCAAGCAAACATGATTAGATTAAAACGGTTTTGATTTATTAAGATAAAACCTAGAAACTAAAAACAACAATCCATAGGAATATTAAATACTAGTTTTTTCACGGAGTCCTGCTCCCGTAGTAGATATAAAGAAACATATATGCTAATCCAGTACATATATAAACTATCTCCATTTTAAATTTCACTCAAATCTGTTAAGCCGTTAGAGTGTGAAGAAGGAAAAAACTTGTTCACAATTTCGTGATATTCAATTTTTTTTCGCGAATCCTGATTCATTTTCTAAAATAAAAGTAGTCTAAGTTACTTTACTAACAGCTATCAGTGAAAGTGCTGTCAAAATCGATCAAGCTGTTTCGGAGATTAGCTAGAACAAACAGACAGATAAAAAAAAAAAATTGTTTTATTCTTATCAGTAGGTATCGTATATATTTTAATATGCATTCAGTAAAAAGCTGTTATTTTGACATCACAAACAGACACTTCAATTTTATTTATTTGTATGGATAATATGGATAATGGATAAGGTAGCTTATATCTTCCCTTTAACAGATAAAATGGATTCTAGAAATACAATTATTTATTTGTGTTCTTTTCATCTCTATCTACCCAACTGAATCCTAGCTATTATATTTAAAGCTCTCTGAGCATCTGTGTAGGTTGGTCTAAAATTGTAATAGTATTAGACTTCGAAAATAACTTTTCAGCATTTGATCTGTTTAATTTGGCCGTTACGTTGATTTTATGTACTTGTTGACATGATAAGAGGATAAGAATTGACCTTTGACTCTTTGTTGATTTATTAATACCTTTCGCTCAACAACAGTCGTTCTATCTATTGAAAATATTAATAAAGTTACTAATGAATAATCATTCATTAATTTTTACCGAAGTTAGAAAATTTTGCAAAATTTATATAATTTAAATTAAACCGTCATATTAATAAACTTTAATGTGCATGCGTTCATATTTTTAAATTAACTAGTGGTTTGAAATTCTACCATACTCGTTATTGAAAATTAGTAACTTTAGGTAAGTAACTCTGTTACCTTTTTAACCTGAAAACGTTGAACAAACAATGAAATTTGTCAGGGACACATGGGACATATGTATGTAGGATCGGACATAGGCTACCCTTGAACCCTGACCCACAATCATGCGAGCGGGCCGCGGGCAAAAACTAGTTGGAAATAATCTTAATAGATTAATAAAGATGACTAAAATTTATCCCAGTTTTAAGCAGTACGGAATGAAAAATAATGGATAACGTAAAACTTGTAGCGATAAAACGCTAATCCATAATAAAATTCTGAGTCGAATCTGTACATTAAATATTTTTTGGAAAATCTTATTGCAATAATTATTATTATCGATACAAAAGCCGAACCAATATTTTTAGTATTTTTGTCTGTCTGCCTGTCTGTCGCATGGGAACGCATCACAAGAAAACCACTGTACAGATTTTGATAAAATTTGGTATGATGATAGCTGGTTATCCGGGTCAACATAAAGGATACTTTTTACTGCGGGGAAATATCTCATCCCTGAGAAACCCGAGCGGAGCGAGGGTGAGTCTCTAGTTTCATATACAGTAATGGTTATTGTTATTCGATGAGATCTGTACAGAATTGTTGCAAAAGGTTTGACAGTGTACAAGAGTGTAGAGGTTACTCACCGCTAAGACGTCAAGATCGTCATACCTTCTACATTGGACACAATAAAGTTTCTGTGAACTATTCTTATAAAATCCAAATGAAATAATATAGCCCAGTCGAATTAGGATTTGACATTGCAAAAAAATTTGGCGGCAATTCTTTGGAGGGTAGAGGGGAAGAGGGGGGGGGGTAACTGGAAGTCTTAATTTAGATTTTCAGGGTACCAGACCCAAGGGTTGATTTTTGTTTATTTAATAACTCGTTTATTTTCAATTTTTCACGAAAAATAGTTGTTACAAAAGTTATTTGAAACTGCTTGGTACGTTTTAAATAGATATAAATAGTAGAGATGTGCCGACTAGTGGTGCGGCCCTCCAGACCTCTATCTTCAAACAAAAACACGCGACAATCTGGCACTTTATTTCGACGTGGAAAAAAGACAAACAAACAAATAAAGTCAACGTCAAATTGTATATCGTAGAAAGAGAAAGTGTCAAATATACAAATGCATTTAAGTAGTTTAATAATCATTTTGAAGTTGCGTTCATAATTATAATGTGGTAGTAAGGAAAAAGAAAAATGTGTTTTTTTTACGTTTTTGCGTGATTTTTTTCTAATTTTTCTCTTTATAAGAACCGTCCCCGGACTTCAGCAAATATTTGCAAAAAAAAACTAGGCTAATTAGTCCAGCCGTTATCAAGTTTTGCGCTTAGCAACATTCATTTTTATTTATATAGAATTAAATTTCCTACAATTTTGGTTCTTATCAATTTTTTGCTAGGATCGATATTTTTCGATTCATACCCAAAAAGAGGGGGTGAATTTTTATTTATTGAACAACTGGTTTATTTTCAAATTAACGAAACGAAAATATGTAATAAACAAAGTTGTTTAAAATAAAATTTTTAGGTTTTGTGACGTCACGAAATTATTCTTACAAACGTAACTTTAAAGTTTTATAACTTTTTCATTTGTTGAGATATTTTAATATTCTTTTCATATTTTTTGTTATATTTCAATTATTTTTTTAAAATTAATACATTAAAAAATTGGAAGCTTCTCACTTAAAAAAGATTACAGTACTTTTAGTATCTATAATATTCCATACTATAGGTATAGAATGACCCTAGAGATAGATACATAATATAGAGATATAAAAGAAAAGATAAGAATTGGTATTTCAAAGATACGATACCTACACTACCCCAAAAATCAGTATCTACTTAGGGTCTTCCCTAAAAACTACCTCCCTGTATAAAGTACACTTTAGTCATTACATAAACAATACATGTTTTACTAATTCTTATTTTTAAATAGTACCTGGGTACCGAGCTTCGCTCGGAGTTTTTGGCCTTAAGTACAATTTTTTTTTTAAATTAAAAACTTGAATAAATATAAAAAAAAAAAAAAACAAAAACAAATCTTTGTATCCGACCGAGATTCGAACCTGGACACGTATGATTGTCGATCTTGCCTTGGCCGCTTGATCACGATGCTTGACCATATTTTGTGTGGAATAATGCGAAAGAAAACCGCATGAAAACTCGAAAACAGACGTTTTCTCAGACCTAAGACTAATCTAGATCGATTTATCGCCCCCAAATTCAGATTTTACATATATATATATATATATGTATAGGAATTGCTCGTTTAAATATATTAGATTTTCCTATCACTACCACCACTTTTTCACAATCGAGCAAAATTGTTACAGTTTCTAATCTTTGATTGACATTTGATCTATTGATTTGAAATTATACGCATTGATTTACATACTTGATACAATATGGTAATATTAAAAAATGTAACTAAAGCATTTTTTCTTCTATCAATTGGTTATTTACTAAAAAGCAATCCTCTCTATTCCCTAAAAATCATTCTCTCAGAGAAAATCAGATTTTCAGATTGTACAATAACTCTATTCCATTCCATTTGTTTCACTCTTTTTACCCGACTGCGGCAAAGCCCAAAGGAGGGTTATGTGTTTACCTGTATGTATGTATGTATGTCAATATACATGTGTATGTCAATTTGTGTGTCTTTTTCTTTCGAAACCTATCGAGTTAGGTATCAAGTCAAAACAAAAACTAAATTAAAATCGGTTTATCCGTTTGGGCGCTACGAAGCGACAGAAAGATATACGGATAAACAGATGCACACGGTAAACTAATAACATCCCTCTTTTGTGTCGGGGATTAAAAATAAAAAAAAACCCCGACTGCGTAAAAAGCGAACTTAAAAGATGGAACAAGTTGTGACAAAGGAACACAGTCGAAGACGCATCCCATTTATTCTTGCTGCGACTCTAGTTACACGTTTCCGTTTCTTTATTTTTTTTAATTTTGTGTTTTATTTTATTTTTCTATGTAAAACGTTTAAACATAGTTTTGTAGAAAACATTTTCTTAAAAATGCATATATTGCTACATTTCTAAAAATCTAAAACTTTAAAGCTATGAGAAATCAAATAGCTAGAGCTAAGTATGTAATTAATTACAGTATATTTTTTAAACACTTAATATTACTTAAATCATAATATGTACATTATACATATATATTTAAATATTATAATAAGGTTAGATTACGTAATGACGGGTGTATAGAGTAAGCAAGTTAATTCTGATTCTAAGGAGCTACTTTTGTCGAATGCATTATGTTAATATTATATTATCAAATACAAGGGCTTGTTATATATTACATTACTTAAAATATATTAAGTTGTAAAATATCAAATGGGCATTCAATTCCCCATTTCGATCGTAACTGATCCTAGACATTCGAAAATATATGTATTATTTGGCTTTACTCATATTTTACTGGAAAATTTAGTGAAAATCGTCAGACTTTAAAATCCTTTAAATTTTATAATCCCAAACCCTGCTAGCATCTCTCTAATAAATTTATAAAAAAGGTTCGTGATTTTTTTGATTAATTATAGTAGGTACTTTTCTTGGTTTCTGGAAAGATTTTCCCCAAATTTTGAGTTCAAATGGTCTATCGTTATGGACCGTTCATTGAGCCAGCTTTTATTGTTAACATAGAGTTTAATATTACGTTTTACACATACCTTTACCCTTTTTGATCCTATTAACCATACACTGTCTCATTAGTCATTGTAGAATGGTAAATATAAGTATGTTGTTTATTATTAATCATTAGTACCTAAATGTTTTAGATTGATGATGATGATGTTCTCCTGGCCGATTCCGGCTACGGCGGCCAATCTCATTGAGACTAGCCAACTGCGTAGGAGATATTATAGTGCACAAGTGTACGCGCAAACGCAGGTGCACTCTATTCCTGTCACTCTCATACTCCGGTGGGACGACCACTCGACACAACCGGTGAGAGTTAAGGCGCAGGACCGACGGCTTTACGTGCTCTCCGAGGCACGGGGGTGAAACACCGCCAACTTCCCAACTCCGGGCTGTTACTGAGACTTACTATATAGAAAGGCACAATAACTAAACTTGGCCCGGGACTCGAACCCAGGACCTCCGAGTGTGCAGCCGTACATGCTAGCCACTACACCACCGAGGCAGTTAAGATTACAGTTTTAGATTACAATCAATATTAATCATTAATTATAGGTGGAAACTTTGCTGTGTGGATGTTTTAGTTTGTAATTATTTATATTACTGTTTGTTTCCCAAAAATGAATAAATAAATTAATTATTCGAAATAATTTCGTACTAGTATGCTTTATTTAACTTTTAGTCTACACATTAAATAAACTCGGTTCTTAGACTTAGAATAGAGCATATTTGTAAATTAAACGAATGTGTATACGTTTTTCTTGTTTTGTTTCCTAAATAAAAGCTTCTCTATATTAAGTACAACAATAGATGGAAGAGATTCGTACGTTATGTTCTCATACAAGTTCGGCGCTGTGCCGTCGGCCGGCACTTTGTGGGTGTGCTTCACTATACATTAGCTAGAAATGTACTATCATTTTGTCGATATCGATATTATATAAATTGTTATATATAATATTAAATATGAGTACATATTTAATGATGAAAATATGATTAAAAATTGAAAGATTATATTATTAATTCATAAAATAAAGAGGTATGAAAATCGGAAACAGTCATTTCTGCGATATGTATTTATTAGTCTCTGAGATTTAAGGAAATAGAGAGTGTACTTGTGTTTGCGTAAAAAGTTATGCATAATATTATCTTCCAAGCAAAAGGCTAGTTTCAGATTGACGGCCGTCATTGAAGTCAGTCCAAACGACTTTATCTACTCGTAATTCTCGGTTCAACTATTTTCTTCATATCTCACTTCGCTCGCTATCTGCTTATTAACGGCAAATAAAATATACAATTCGAAAATGGGAACCATTATCTAGTCATAGAGACATCACTCAAAGAGATCCCACGCCACATTAGGTATACAAAATAACTAAAAAATAATTTATTTAATATAAAAAGCACTCCGTATATTGTAAAATATTTACAACTGACACCAACAACAGTGTATAAAAAATAAATTAAAAGCTTCACGCTGGGTTATCAAGTGCTCCTCACTATCGCCCGCTCCTCCCTTCAGTCACTCTAGCCGGTTGGAGGCGTGCGGACATTTCAGTCGTTGCCGTTACGACGCCATTAAATAAAATCTACTTCCTTGTTTATCCACACAGCCTTGTTCTCACAACAGCTCCCCGAAGCTTCTAGAAAAGGTAAGATTTTAGTTTATATAAAAAAAGAAACATTACGTCCTAAGTACTCTACATTTTTTCAAGGACGTTTTATTCATCGTCTAGTCTATGTATATATGTGTTTAAGCCGGCTTCCTAGTTGTAGCGAAATGAATAAATAGATAAGTTTTCCTAAACATGTCTACTTTGTTTTAGGTTTTCATCTTTATTTCTTTATATAAATAGAGAAATAAAATGAAAATGTACTATTATTAGTAATAATAAATATTTTTTATGTAATATATTATTTTCTTATTGTTTATATTTTGTATGAAAACTTATAATATCAAAATAATATCTGGGAAGGATTAGATTGTGCCTATGCTCTTTATGCATTATATAGCATTTTATGAAGCCTTGTCACGTTAGCTGCAATATATCAAATTCTTATAAAGCTCGACGTTTTTAATGGCTTTGAATTTATATTATATCGATTAGATGTGTATAGTAGATATCTCTTTTTTAAATATCCGTAACAATAATTTTAATAAATTACAATAATTAGTTTAATATTTTTACAATTATATAAGGAAATGTGCAATATGTCTAAAAATTGGTATATTAAATATTAGGCGTATAGTAGGCGTTTAAAACTTATGCCTTAGTTTTTACTAGTTAAATTATATTTCTATGCAGTTTTATTGTGTATATAAAAAGAGAAAAGTATTGAATTATGTACTTAAAGTTTTGCTTAAATTGTGATTAGGAAATATTAGTTGTTTCTTCCAAATCTCATTCCTCCCGCTTGTATAATTTTCATTGATGGATTACGTCGTACAGTCACCGACACGCCCACCCGCGATCATCGAACCCCGTTGAAATCAGGTCATCTGCTCTGTTTACATTCGTCCTTATATTTTATATTTAGTGAATGTCAATATTTTCAAGCAATTTAATACTGGTGCAGTGTTGTTTTATAACAAAAAAAAATTTAAAACGTCATAGGTTGTATGCAAAGTTAAATCGCAGTTGATCTATGTACCTATTTGTGCAATATGTTTCATTAATTTTTAGGTTCATCCTTTCTTATATATTTTTTGAAATATGTCTTTTGGTTAATAACAAGGAATTCAAAATGTAATTGATTTTAACAATCATATGGTAGTAGCTAAGTAGGTACTTAATAACGCATTTGCAACGCTATGCAGTGGTGTCAAGCTTTCAAAATTTTTATTTTAAATAATACAAATTTTCACATCTGATGATAATCAATAGTTATTTGTCAATATAATAAGCGATAGATTACAACATACTCGTAGTAATTTAATTGAACAAAGTTGCGAATAAACACTATACTAAGTAATATTGGTAGTAAAATTTGCTAATTTTTAATTTTGTGGCTGTAATAGCCTAGTAGGTTAAATATCGATTTAAGAATTTTTTTTTTATTTCAATTAAATATAGGATCTTGGAATCTATCTTGGAAATTAGGCATCGCGTCGGCAACTTAATATATGAAAGAAATCATTGTAATTAATATATGTAGGTATATTTACTAGCGCTTTGCCCTCGCTTCGCTCGGGTGAGCTTGAATACTACGCGTAAAAGACAAACGTCCAATGAAAAATTCTTTTTTTTTTTTTGCGTCAGGAACCTTCGCAGGCGCAGGCACCTTTAGAAACGCATCGAGCTATAGAGTTTCAAGCTTCACTTTCACACAAAATTTCTATTTTAATATTTTTATTCATAAGACAGTGTAGTCCACATTATTTACGACATTCGTAATTTTATAAAAAGAGTTGTTATTTTGTTTTTTACTGTTTATAAAATGCAAATAAAATTTGTGGAGAAAAATCGCTTTTAAATAATCTTATCATTTACTACACTTTTGTGTACCGTTTTTTAAGGCTAGTAAATTTTATAAATGATTTAACTTAATATTTTAGTTTCCTTCTTTCAAATTAATGGGTTAACTGCGAAATATTTGAAATGTCAGATAAAAAAAAAACAATTAAATATGTTGTGCTAGCATTGCCCGCGGCTCCGCACGCGTTCAGATGACCAAAAACCAAATTCTTAGGTTTTACATATTAGTATACTCTTACATTGCATTTTTTGTATTTTTTCTTAGAAATGAGACATTTTCCCGCGGTAAAAAGTATCATATATGTTGACCCAAATAACCAGCTATCACCATACCAAATTTTATCAAAATCCATCCAGTGGTTTTTCTGTGATGCGGTAACAGACAGACAGACAGATAGACAGACAGACCCATATAAATTCTAAAAACTATAGATTCGGCCTCTGTATCGATAATAGTGTTTATTTCAATAAGATTTTCCAAAAAATATTTAATGTACAGATTCGGCTTAATTACAATTTTATTATATGTATAGATAATTTATTAATAAAACATTCTTTAACCTATTCCTTATTACCTTAAAAGTATAAAAAATTGTAAAGAATAGAAGTGAGAGAATATTTATTATACTTCTTGTTTCCCAACAAAAATATTTCTGGTGTAGGTTTTTCATAACAATTAATTTGTTATGTAAGTCATAAAGACTTGTTTCAAAAATTTGACGAAATCTACGTACAATAGCTACAATTCAAAAGCCCACATTCTGTTCTGAAATAATGTAAATAATTTCGTGCATTGTTATGAATGTTGTGCTCGAATAATTTAATTACAAGAACTCTCATATTCAACGTAGTGGCGTGCTACTTGTATGCGCCCACGTACAAAAATATCGTATAGCTGCCTATTATTGTAGCGGCGAACAAAGAAAAATATACTGGAATACTATTAATTATTTAAATAGTATAATATACTTAACACAAAATTCATTTCTATTATCATTGAACCGTTAAAATGTCTCTACGTTTATAAACACGAAATGAATGGCGTATTATATTTTATGCTCCCTTTATGTGCAGAATCAATTTCGTAGTGCTCTTTTGACTTTGAAATATTCATGAGTGAGTTTTTACGGTTAGAGTTTCTTTTGAAATTTTATAAAGATTATAGTTGAAAAAGGTTCGTGTAAGAGATACTTACTTATAAACTTGTGAAGTTTCTAAATTTTAGATTTCTTTCTTTGTTCATGTACTTAACCTGAAATTGCAATGATGCAAGAGCCGTTCCTAGTTTCAAATACTCGTTAAATATTTTCGTGTAATTTAATAGCATCTTATTATATATTTTGAAAAAAATATTTTTCTGCGGGTGTAGTGATGGATAGATTTTGAAGATACATCATTTTAAATTTTTTTTGTGGCTCACTGTGAAAAAATCTGAGGATTGCTTTTACTAAGTATGTAAAAGTCCAGTGCTACGGGCTACGTAAGCGCTACGCCTAATGTGTTTTTATATAATTGTAATTGCAAAGGTAGAGATACATGTACTAGGAGACTTTGTTGCAATCCTATTATTTTAGTTTCAATAGAAAAATGTAATTAACTTAATTGTTACTTAGATTTTTCTAGAATATTCTATAATGCTGTTAACGGATTAAGCCTAACAAGTTAGCAAGTATAAGTAAATAGCCGTAGGGAGATGTTTTTTATAAATGAGATTTATTTCTCAAGAAGTTCATACACATAACTTTAAAAATAACAGTTATTAATAAAAAATTAATTTTTTGTTGCAGGATCTAACGGCCCTTCTATCATCATCGACGCACAGTGTTTAGTGTTCAGTGTAAATAACAAAAATCAAAATGATAGACGATAATTGAATTCAAACTTTCCAGTTCTATTTTCATAAACTAAAATGTATACAGAAGAAAATATGAAATGTATACAAAAGAAAAGCCAAATTCAGTGAGCGCTACCGCTCTAAATCTCCACCCAAACTTTCAATGTTAAATTACAGACTGGTTTCAACGCATTTCCTGAAGCAACCGTAAATTTTCCAGGACGGTAAATTATCATTGACTGTGTGTCGTACCAATATGTGCCGGGATCGAGATATGTCGGTGCAAAGGAGTGACATCATCAAATAAATACTTTTAAGCGTTGTCAAAAACCTAGTGTAGTGTCTAGCTTTCCGTCAAAACGGCGCGCGAATTCGCCCCACCGTTTCGTTTTGTTTCTTTCATTTTGTTTTATATCAAAGGATAAGCAATAGCCCAATTTTTTATTGGTTTTTATCGATCATCGTAAGGGGTCTCGGCCGGCTGCGGGACCCTGCGTTACACTGGCCAGTCAGAGTCGGCACAACATTTCAAGGATCTTGGACTCCATTGTAGGCGCTGCGAGGTATTGCATTGTGAGTATAATTCGACTTACTTTATGTAACAACTGCGAGACTCCAGGGAGTCTTTTCTCGACCTACATATAATTGTTTGATGTTATGCTTGACATCGTTTCTTATAATTCATTTGGAACACAGCCAACTATCTAATAAACAAAGGTAACTCTTGTGTCCATATAAGAATACACGATTTTTTGTCAGAGTGCTTCAGTGTCGGATATAATTTAATTTCAGAACCACATAACGGCAGATCGCTTTCGGAATTTGGGGAATTTAATTTCGAGTTAAAGTTTAAAATCTGAAGCGAACATGGTTCTATTGGAAATTAATCAGGTACTTGTAAAGTCAAAGGCTGTGGGGTTTTCATTATTAGAATTTAATATTACGTAGTGTCTTAATGTAATATATCTAAAAGTAAATTTTAATGTATAAATATTATTATAATAGCTTTTTATACGCTTCGCTAAGATAAGAGGTTACTGAAAAATGGTAGTCATTTTCCATAAAGAGATGCGTGTTCTAGAACTTTCAGTAGCCTTGCTTAATGTGTAGGTCGTTTTGTACAAATTGTGAGAACGCTTTATACAGACATAAAATAGATTGGTCACACTTAGAGGTTTCGCTTAAAATCTTTAAAGTACACTTGTACAATTTACTAGCGCTACACGACCATACCACATCAGACGTTCACACGACATTCCATCAATCGCCACAGGCTTAGTTCAAGTAAATATGGAACTCACAGTACACTAATACATGGACATGTTAGGGTTACGGGCACGATTCCGAGTGCTCGAGTGAAAGCCGGGTTGTAATAACTGGGCTCGCGTGGCGTGCGCAGTGCTGCGAGAGCGAGAGGGGAGACATGGCGGCGCCAGAGTGCGAGCGGGAGGCACGCAAGCGGCGCGAGCGTCGCGACTCGGGGTGCGCGCACGAGCGTAAGGAGCGCAGGCCACACAGCGAGGAGCGGCCACCACCACCACCACCTCCTCCACCCCTACACGATTATAATAGACTTGAGGTAAGAACAATGAAACAGTCACTGGCTATCCGATGTAATTGCTTTCAATTTTGGACAATTGTCTCCTTAAACCTAACCTTAAACCGAAATGTATGTACGCGCATAACTTTCGATCGATTTTTTGTGTTTGTTATTGTCAGGACAAGTTTTGTATAGAAGAAAATTAAAAACAATTTTTTTTTACTAAAATAAGTTTTTTTTAAATCTCATGATATGAAAACTGAGTGAGTGAAATAGTTTCTTTCTCGAAAAGCATTCCTTAAGGGGGTGAGAATGGGGATGAGAGTTTGTATGGCGAAGTAACTACATAAGTCTATTTTGGCTTAGGTAAGACGAGAGAACCGAGCAGAATTAAATGAGGTATAGACAATAGTGTGAAGTTATTAGATATTCAGAATATTCTGGAAGAAATATAATTTACTACAAAACTATGCATTTCATAAAAGCCAAAATATAATTTGTGTCTATATAAGCCCATTAAAAAGTAAAAATATCTGTATAATCAAGTGTAGCCTTGTTTCTATAACAGATTATGCGAGCTTAAGCTGATATTGGATACATTTACCACTTATTATAACCCAATGATATTTGGTTTCAGTCTGAACGTCGAGCTGAGCGATTGTCACGCGCAAGACGCCCGCAGTACGGCGGCAAGAGACGCAGAGCGCCTGCACGCTTTCCCCGACAACCTAAAGAGAACGACAGGCACACTGATGAAACTAGAAGCGGTACACCACCGCATTTCGAATATGTTGTGCAGCAGAAACCTGAAAGTGAGTGTCCTTTACACATATTACATATGTTACAGTCAGAACTTTCGTGAGTTAGAGTCAGTCAAGTTAGAGTTACAGACTCTTTCGTGGTCAAAACTACTTTTGGTTGACCTCTTTAGTCAAAAGTAGTTTTGACTAAAAAAATAGTTTTGACTGTGAGTTGTGCCATAAGTATATACCTAGATAATAGACATCTATACATATAATAAAATTGTAACTAAGTCGAATCTGCACATTAAATATTTTTTGAAAAATCTAATTGAAATAGACATTATTATCAATACAGAGTCCGAATCTATAATTTTTAGAATTTTTGTCTGTCTGTCTTTTACCGCATCACGAGAAAACCACTGGACAGATTTTGATGAAATTTGGTATGACGATAACTGGTTATCCGGGTCAACATATAGGATACTTTTTACCGCGGAAAAATATCTCATTTCTGAGAAAAAATACAAAAACTGAATTGCAAAAGTATACTAATATGTAAAACTTAAGAATTTGGTTTTTGGTCATCTGAAAGCGGGCGGAGCCGCGGGCAATGCTAGTGTAAAATAAAAATAAATTTATTATACAGTAAGTGAAGAAAGTGAAGGGTCGTACACCGACGGCGGTGTAAGTGTTCGTCGTGAGGAAGCAGAGCACGCACGACGCGATGAGCGAAGCGAGCCGCCCCGGCGCAGCCAGCCTAGCCCGGACCGTCGCGTTGAGAAACTTATTAAGAAGGTAAATAATAATAGATGCTTTACCAAACGTCTTTAGTTTTATTCCAGTAAAATTTAATGGCTAACTCGAATAGTTACGGATAATGAGCTTGGGCTTCGTGTTTTACATTCACTACATGTGAGTTACATTCACTTTTTTTACATTGATGAAGAATACCTGAAGTCGGTCCCATACCTGATCTGTCGATCTTTATAGAATATCTAAAATAGCTCTCGGACTATTAGAGTTAATATTTCTATTTAAGGTGTATACAATGAAATATTGAAGCAATAGCAGGTATTCTTTTAGTTAAAAGGAGGTAAATTAAAATTTAAGGCACAAAACAATATTGATTAGATTGAAACATGTATCGATAAAAGGACATTAAGAGGTCGTTCACAGAACAGTCTTCACTGCTAAACATTATATCTATTTTGTAGGGCACGGTTAGGTATATTTATTACTGTACAAAAACAAGAGTATTAAGTATTACTTGTTGTTTTTTTTTTTAATTTTTAACTAATTATATAAATAAAAAGATAGGTTAACTGTGTATTTAAGCGTAACATTTAAAATTATTCCAAGTTTTGGTGCCGCAGAAGTTTTTAGTATCTACGGGATTCATATAATTTTTAACAGACTTCCAAAAAGGAGGAAGTTCTCAATACGTCGTAATCTTTATTTTTCACCAATAGTTTTAGAATATGAGCGATATAAGCCAGTAAAATTTTATCACAATTTATGTAATTATTAACGAATGGCTATCCTGCGAGGATATCAATTTCTTGAATTGTTGTGGTTGCAAACTTATTATGCAATATATATAAGATGTGGTAATACGATAGGTGCCTATTGTTGATGCTTAAAGCCTACATAAGGTGTACAAATTATATTTTCTTTCTTTGTTACCCGATTAACTACTTTCTGAATTAAGTGATTTAATGTAATGAAGTCAATTCAAGCTTAGTAAAGCTTTAAAGGCCCAACCCAACTCCCATTTTCCAAAAACATGTAGCATCGAGAGTCTAGTGCCGATCCATATAACATCCTCTTTACATTTTAATACCTACGAACTGAAAGCGTAAAACCTATATAATAAATAATATAAAAAATGTTTTTCTTAAAAACAACTGATATCGATAATGTTATTACTTTTATATTTCTAGATAAATCTGCTTAAGAAAAACATTACAAAGTACGAAAGTGATTTCGAAGCTCAAAACGGCCACGCTATCACTCAAGGCGATCGTATGACGGACGTTCATTTGATCCGCATGTACGAGACACTACGACAATTGCAAACAGAAAAACGTTGTATTAAGGCAGATCCAGTGGAATATGCTCTAAAAGTCCAAGCAGCGAAATTACAAAAGGAGCGGGATGATAAGCTTGACGCGGCATTAAAGAGCGACAAGTCTATGGCCGAAGTTGTAAAGGATATTGAAGAGGTAAGATTTATCATTTCGTTGTCTTTAATCATCATCATCTCCCTGCCCATTTCCCAAATTACTTGGGGTCGGTGCAGTACATTTATACTGCTTATTAGTTTTGGCAAAAAAAAATCCGACCGGCCGCCTGCCTGTCGTCAACCCTCTTTGGGAATGCTGTTGTTCGCCCACCATCGAGCAAGGGATTTAAGGTGCGATGTCCCTAGATCCTATAGTAGTCTTTAATACTAATAATATATATAACACGTTTTTAATGATTGAGGTACTAGGCACTAATATTAGTGATTTCAAAATAGCTACCTATATTAAGCTCATATTATTGTTATCTACATTATATCTAAAGGTTAAACAATTATATAGGTACCATTATATCTCTCTATCCATTAGCTAATTGAATGGTCGATTTTTTTTAATGGCTTATAGTTGCGTTAACAGACGCAAACCATTCTGCCAGTGTCACGTTTTGTGAGGAAGATACGAATGAGATTAAGCGGTAATTTTGAAATTTGGTAACTATGGTCGATTTTAATAGTACATTGTCTAGTGACTGACGAGTATTTAGATTTAACCAAAGTAAAAAATTTTAAAATCTTTTCTAGGTTTCAATCATTACAAACCTGATACAAACTTTCGCATCATAATAGTAGTTCGATTAATATTATCTTCATATCTTCCTTCCAGTGGGTAGAAGGTTGTCGCCAAGCGTCAGGCAGAGCAAACATCCCGGAATCAAACTGGACACCAGCTCAATTAGCCGCGGAGAAATCTTGCGTCCAAAGAGCTCTATTACGTTTAGAGGCGGCTCGGGGAAGACCCCCGGCCCATTCCGTAGAACGTGGCGCTGCCAGACATTTGTATGAGAGATATAGAGCTGTTAAACGCACTCTAGCTACTTTCAGACCTGACGCCGTAAGTATTCGAATTGAAAATGATAACCTATACGATCTTTAATTGACTCTACTAACTTTATTCTGTTTAAGAAGAGTTTACTATTTTGTGTTATGAGTGCAAGGAATAAAATATGATGCGTATAAGTATCGTTTTATTAAATATCAAAATGTATATGATATATCCATCTAAGTGAGAAACATTGATCGTTATCTAACTTAGTGAATCAATATACTTTATTCAAAAAGACTTTTACAAGCACTTTTGACATAATATGTCGATTTTAGAGTTGAGTAGTAGCCTGAATATAAACATAACAGTAGCCATAAGCATGTTTTATGTAGGATATAATTACACCTGTATTTTAGATAATTGGCGGAACAAATGGCGAATTGGCCACTATCCACGAACACGAAACGATGCTGTTCAATACAAGCGTGGACAGCTCCAGCGATTCACAAGAGAAGCCGTCTGACTCTTCGCAGGTTTGATTTTGTTTAATTAACATATATTTTTGGTTTATGATATTTTAAAAAGATAAAATTGAAAGGTAATTTAAGTTTTTTATGTATATTATATTAAACAACTTACACACATAATAAATATCACCTCCAGGTAAATTTCTAAGAATTTACTTAAATTTCTAAGAAATCTATTGTTAACTGTAACGCCGGCGTGTCCGCGGTCGTGGAGGGAATATGAAGGCATTATTAATTGTACTTGTATACTAAGGCGACATATACTCGTAATTTATGTGACAGACAAGATTCAAGAGCACCCATTATTGAAGAAACCAAGTCAAAAAATCATTTTCAACAACAAGATCTATAATTGATTTCAGGAAACCGTAGAGACTCCACTTCAATCACCACCAACTCGTGAGGGTGCAGAAGAAATGCCATCGTCCACGTCATCAGCGAAATCTGTAACCACCAGCGATGAAACTACTCCTTTAAATGAAGGCTTACATTGTCTTGGATTAGATGACCTCGGTAGAGCTCTCGCTGAGGCTAAAATGCTTAAATGTGTAAGTATTTCTTTTTAATTTTGTATTCCCATTCATATTCATTTGGTTTGTATTTCAACTATAATTATTTATTTGATGCAGATAAATTTTAAGTTCACAAATTATAGTCGAATCAGTTACAGATAATAATTTTAATACAGATATTATAGTAACTAGTATTATGTTTATGTATACATACGAACTATGACTAAATTACATCTAGAATTATATTAAAAAATGAATAATATCAACATTCAGGTACTTCGCCGAAGCATTAAAGAGTATGAAGTTAACTTCGAAGTGCAAAACAGTAGAAAAGTCCAGAGAGACGACAAGAAAGGCCGCGAAGAAGAATACCAGCGATACAAAACCGTTAAAGCCAGGATTAAATTGCTCAACGCTCTTATAAATAAACAAAAAACTGCTTAAAGTTGTAGTCACAATGTCTCTATGGAGTATATATAATACTTAATGCGCTTCTTTAATAAGTAATTATATATATAAATTAAACGCGAAATTGTACTTAACAAATGAAGTAGTGATATAGATATAAGACATGGCTATTATCGGTCAATATATTTCTTATTAAAATCTCAGAGTCAAAAAATAAATAGCTAAGAATAATATGAAAACAGTTCTAAAAAGTAAATAAATTCTATATAAGTATAGCTTGCTAAGGCATAACGTTATAGAAAAATAAACATAATACGCATAAGCAAAGTACAACGAAAGACTAGATTTTAAAATAGAGCACCCAAAATCGATAAATTATAATATTTATTCAATGCAAGATCTGTAAAAATAACTACAAACAATTCTGAAACTGGTAAATAATAACTTACTAGAATCTAGACAATGCAACATGAAAAAATGCAAGGATAATAAATATAACTGATTCTTGATTTGTTTTGATTTACAATTGAGATTTGAAGTACATCATCTTAAATTGGATATGTTTGTAGCAAGAATTTCATTAATAGACAATTAGAATATTTAAGATGCACAAAATATTAAACTAAATTGCCTAAATCTGCAACAGCAATACCTAGATCTACAAATTGATTTAAATAAACTGTAAATATAATAGTATATCTTATAATATATAATCTATATTATATATTAACATAGCTTTTTTGAAATTATGAAATGTAACTAAAAAAATATCTCGAATTATGACCAGTGTAAAAATAAACTTCATAAAGGACATTTAGAATGTTCTAATAACAAATCGGCACTTAGTATTTTTGAGCTGCGTTAGGCTCCCAATATTATGACGTACGTAGACGGCTGAAGAAGCTGTACCCATACCATACTAATATATTATAACTATTTCGGCTTTAAGCCTATTTAAGATCGGTTAAAAATAAATTAAACGGTCGTTTAAGAAAAATAAAATGTAAAAAAAGCAATTCGTGAAATGATCGTAGATCGTACAATGCGTCGAGTAAATTCTAGATTTGACAAAATGATAAAAAAATTTAACATGATGATGAAAATAAATTTGTATCATACTATGTAAAATTTTATGGTATTTTTTAACATAGAACAAGGCTTAGGAAATAACTTAAATACATGGATGAAGAAAATAAAAATACTTATAAAATTTTATTCTAGGCTAAATCTGCTTGTAGCCTAAAATAAATATATACCTAATGCTAAATGACCAAAATTGAAAATGAGGAAATTTCTATAAAGACGATATTAAAATCGTACATTTTGATTTATTACTCATTTATATATGATTCTTGAAATAAAAATAAGTAGTATTCTTGTAAAATCATTTCCATTTTATGTCAAACAATAAAGTAGCCATGACCATCTCATTATGTATATAAAAATGACATTAATTTTATGTAATGCTTACAATAAGGCTATATTATAAACATGTTATTCATAAAATACTTATATCTACGAGTATTATAACTGTGCCGTTCTGAAATAATCTAGAAATGGACCTGCAGTGGTTTATAGTACTAACAACATTATAGTTCGTACACGTAAGTATCGTCATACGATTCGTGGTTGATTGATACTTATAAAATGCGTATTATAAAGAAGTTAAAATATTTATACTTTTGAAGACTAAGTGTGGTTGTAATACAGTAATAAATGTACATCATTATCTTTCATCAGTGAAATGAGTTTGTACGACTTCACTCGAGCTAGTACAATATGAGTCGATATTAGAGTCCCTTAAACTGTGTACGGCTATGATCATGTCCATACGTCGAGTACCTTCTAATGTAAGACTTGTTACATTTATAATTTACTATTTTATTTCACGTTAAATGTTTCTTCCTTGGGTTATATAGAATAGAACCCGTATTTTTTTCTCTATAAGAGAAATTAAATTTTAAATATGCCTAGTAATAAGAATTACCTGTGATTTAATAAATTATCATATTGGATCTTGTGCGACAAGACTTTGTTTTTTATCGATGTTGTAGTGATTTTTTTAATATATTTATTATTTATGTTTAGTTTTATCTTAACGGGTTTTTAATGTTCAATGTCATAGCTTTCTATATTTATCTAATTATGACGGTTCTGGAAAACGTGTTCACTTCTTGATTCTATGTACGAATACGTGTTAAGAATAGGACGGCTTTTGGACCTGTTGATATTGGATTATAATAAAGATATGCTAAAAAGACAATTTGGCACTGATAAAATGTAAAATATTTAACAAATACTAGAATATTGTTGATATAATATGAATTTCTCTACATTTTATTCGTGTCAATGTCTCTATATAAAGTTAAAGTACTTCTGTTATATTTATGAGAACTTTTAATTAGATTACGACTCGATCTATTTTGTAGAATTAAATACAAATGATTATATTATAATCTAGAAATGTGTATGACTGACGTGACAAAACACTTTCGACTCGAAATATTTTCCAAGTGACGATTCTACCGCCCGTTACATATTGAATAGCATGTAATTATTAAAATTAGACAGTTTTGGCTTATTTTGCTTAGTAATATAGTAACAATAATACCAACTTAAAGAATAATGTGTTTATTTTTACACACTTTAATATACATATATCTGTCATTAATAAGAATTAAAGTAGCGGGCGGCCAAGTACAGTCGTATACTATGATTGCAATTCAAGCCATATTATTGGATGAAGAGAAATTAATCGTTTGGGTGATGATTGTTGCAAATTTCATCAAATTGTAATATATTTATAATGTACCTTAATATTTACTGCAGTACCTATACTTAGTTAAACAAAGAGCATGTAGCGTTCCATCATTTTATTAATGGATGTTCAAAATAAAACATTACCAATAATATTGTATTTTTAATTTCCCTAAAAAAATCAAATTAGTTAAGTGAGTTTGTTAAAATTTTTAAAATCAAATGGTTTAATAATATTATATTACTTTGTTTTGTAAATTTGCACACTGATATAATAATTTATAGTCTATGATTATTTGGTAAATAAAATAGCTTTAAAAATAACAAACTTTAGTTGAATTTAGGTTATAAAGAGTAAAACAAAAAAATAATTTAGATTTGAAACAATTTATAATAATAACATAAGAAAATTAACCTATACCATTTTCGTAAAACTAGTAGGCTATCTTTACACCAAGTATTCGTAAAAATAAAATACAATAATATAAACTAAAAGTGTATTATACAAAAGACCTAAATTAACATAAATTATCTAACTTCACTAATTGCTCTGGCGGAGAAGAAGGTGTACTTCTATTTAAAGTCGCGTCTAAATATTCTTGGGGCAAAAAAGGAGCTAATAGACTATATCCATCGAAAAAAAATGTCTGTTCAGAGAATCCATGTACGTGCTTTTTAACTGCTAATTTCTTAGGCACAGGCACAATCAACTCAATTACTTCTTCTCCAACCTCTTGATAATCTTCTTTTTTAGGTCGTCCATCGATCGAAGCAAGCAATAACATCATAATTGTCACACGCCACATAACTAAATCACTTTAAATTAAAATATATCCTTAAGTTATTTTATATTAAAGTAAAGTCTTTGTGATTGCGCTCTCGAAGAGATTCTAAGTTTATCACATTTAATGAGATTTGTATAGATGTCTACGTAATAACGACCAATAAGATGTTGATATATATGAATAAAATATGGCCCTATAGCAGCGATTGGTAGAATTAATGCGCATCTCTTATCTTCTTGGAAATGAAACTACGACATTAATTTGTCAAAATTGTCCTTAAACGAGTACCTACGTTACATTGTGTGCCAAATATAGAGGGCCAAATAAAGATACAATAAAAAAATTTATTATGATTCTGATTTTTTAACAGGTAATAAAGGCCAGATTATAGAGATTATATATTTAGTTAATTCTTATTGCTATTATATAACTGACATGTAGGAGCTCGCTTTTGTAATAATTCAGAAAGATCGCCATGTATAATATAGACGATAGATCTTTTAAATATGTCGAACAAAATCGATACATATAGTTGCAACAACACTAAAATTGGATAAGTTCGGGGAAATACTCGATTAAAAACTTGGGGAAAAATTCTTAAAAAATTGTTATCAATGTTGTTATTGTTATTTTAATTGATATAGTTTTATTTTTAAGTAATAACTATATTACTTCAAAATAAAATGACATATAACTATGTAATTTGATTTTTTGCTGATTTCGATGGGCACGGGCCTCCCTTCTGTACGACAGGGATGAGGCCATAGTCCAACACGCTGGCCAAGTGCGGGTGGGTTGGTGGAATTCACATGTCTTTCGAAAACTAGGTTTTCTCAGACATGCAGGTTTCCTTACGATGTTTTCCTACACCATAATGCAAGTGGTAATCAAGTTAGAAATAATTCGCGCAAGAAAATATCAGAGTTGTGAGACCCGGGATTTGAACCCGCTTCACTCGGCTTCCCAAGCAAGCGCGTTACCACTGGGCCACCACTGCCTCCACTAAGCTACCACTGCTAAGGTAGTTAGTTTATCGATATACTAAATGTTGATGCGTTTTATTCGGTATTTTTTTTTAATTTCGTTTAAGGCGGTCCATTACTTTTTGCGTGAAACGCGCTCACACAAACGGATAAACAGACATACAGACAAACAGATAAATTTTTTAACAACTATTGTTTTGGTGTGTATATTCTGTACATTTTTTTAACAAAAAATATGTACAGATTTCCCTAAGTTACTGTTCTATGTGTGCCTATAGATTAAAATTAATAAGACAATTGGAAACGATTTCTATACAAAATACGATTATAAATACGATATTTTCTTAAATTCTTGGGAATTGAAATCAGAAAACATATTTTAGTAGTTTTATTGGTATTTGGTATATTCAAATGCATTAATAAGCTTACTATTCCTCGTATTTACTTGTTATTTTTCAGTAGGTTTATCTCTTTTCAAGTGAATTACTGATTACATTGATAACCCTTGTATATCGACAGAGACAACTGGGGGTCAGCACGTCTACAATACACTCGTTAATTTGCCTCTTACGGTACCTATTATGCAAGTATACTATACATACATAATGTATTTATATATTTTATATAATACTTGCAGTACCCGCGGCTTCTCCCGCGTTCAAACTACTAAAAAAACAAACTCTTTGACTCACCGACAGCAGCGCCACCTACCGGGTCCAATTGTGTTTTCAAGCCATCCAGGAGCCCATTGAAATTATAAACACAATACATCCAAATCGGTCCAGCCCTTTAGGAGGGGTAAGGGACAAACACACAGTACAGAAGAATTATATATATTACTAGCGGCTCACCCTCGCTTCGCTCGGGTTCACCTCTAGAAAAGCACAAACAGATCTATCTAACGGGAACCGTTCATTTTTCCGGGATGAAAAGTAACCTGTTGTTTGACCGGCAACATAAGGTATCAGCATGCCAAATTTAAGTAAATTAAGTGGATAAGTTGTTGTGTACTAAGCTGTATAAGTTACTATAGTTTTTTAACTATCCCACGGAAACTCTTTAATTTTCGAATAGATTCGGAGATTAGCCCGTACAAACAGAAAAACAGACAAATAGCTCGTTCGGATTCGTCCATAGCTACGAATATGTTGTATTATCTCTTTAACCATTTGTCCAAATTATATGTAGTAAGAGGGAAAAGTCTTTTGTTTTAAACATTTTAGACGATAAATCTACTTATTTTGATAAGAATTCATAATTGTTGATAATATGACCAATAAACATGACCTACCGATTGAAATTATATTTTTAATATAAAAAACTACTTTTTGTGACTTAAATATAAAAGTTAGACATATTCTGTCGCTGACTTTTTTGTAGGCATTATTAAGCTCTACAACTTTTCTCTAGAACATAATCATATATCTCTCATCGTTAAGGCAGCGTTCGTAAGAAACGTTTTCGTTCGACCGTTTTTTCTCCGACTTACTTTGCAAATCCGACTACCACGAAAAAGCCTTTTCTTCGGGTTAATATATAGCCTATGACACTCAGAAAGAACGTGGCTTTCTATTGGTAAAAGAATTTTGAGAATCGGTTCAGTAGATCCAGAGATTACCCCTTACAACATCACAAACTCACAAGATCACAAACTTTGCCTCTTTATAATATTAGTATAGAAAATACAGCTTAAAATATATTAATAAATAAAAAAAAATTATAATTTGTCTACCTATACTTTTTTAGTATGCAACGCTGAATTTACACCAGGGGCACTCGGGGCTAGTGCCCAGAGCGAAAAATTTTTAAGGGTGGCAAAATTCATAGGGTGGGAAAAAAATAAATCTTCGCGTTATCGAAAACGCTTTTTTTATTTTCCAAAAAATGATTAATTGAAAAAATAACTAATGGATTTTTCGAAAAATTGAAATCGTTTATAAATTATTTTATTTGTTTTCAAAAAAATTATTATGAAAATAAACTTTATCAAAACTTTACCCATTTTATGCAAAATTTCGATAATAGGGCGGCTATTTTTACTATGCCCAGGGGCGGAGCTAAGGTTGAATCCGGCCCTGTTAGTATGGTAGGTACTATTTACTCGTAGAGTAAGTCTAACTACGTTTTAGGATTAGACGTTGAGCCCAGTCAGGGCCCTATTATGTAGCGCTATTAGTCTGTCTTACGTTTAAATTGTTGGTCGTTTACTATATATGCCAATTACAATATCCACCCGTAGGTATTACCCATAGGAGAGCTTACTATATATACGAATCTACGTACTTTTTAAGTATAAGTAGATAAAAATAGTGATTAATAGTAGTACCTTAGGAAATAGCGCTTCTAAACCATTGTTTGATATAGAACCAAGTTTAGGTCGAAGTAAGCTGAGAAAAAGACAGAGGCAGATTGGTGACTTTGTTTTATACAATACGTAAATATATTTATGATTATTATATATGATGATAATTTTATAAATATATAATATCAATGTATAAGTAGATAGATATAAATAACCGACTTGCCTAAAAACTAAATTTTGCATTATTTTAATATATTAAATTTAACCCCGCTACTAATCGTTTTTGTGTAATAAATCATTAAAAAAATTATATGAAGGAAAACTCGGCCGAATCAGTTATTGTGTTTTCGCGTAGGAAGGAGACACTTTCCTATAAAAGGTATTCGAAATGTTTAACCGAGTTATAAGCTACAAAAAATTTAGCTAGAATTCTACTAAACAACAAGGATTGTTGAACTACTTTTTGCGTGAAAAGCAAACAGATAAACAGACATACAGGCAAACAGACAAATAAATCACAAACATAAGTATAATTTATTTTATTTATTTGATATTTTTAGTTTATTATTATGATGTTTAACCCGTTAAACACATTTTAAGCCTCTTTAAATTCTTCCTAAGTATTTATAGAGTACTGAGTAACATACTTTGGAACAATAATATTGTAAATGCATTAAATAGAAATGTCGATCACTTTAAGAATAGTGACACTTTGTGAGTCAGCATCGTGTTAATATTATATATAACGACTTAGCCATGTAGAGCTTCAGTGAACATACGACTTCAGGCAGGCAAAGACGTGATCTGGGATAGTAGAATAAAGATACAGCAAAATGATTTGGAAAACAATTTTGGTTGCCTTCCTCGCCGTCGGTAAGTTTAGAATATTTTTATTATATTATTTTTATTATATTATTCATTAGAATTCTTTAGAATATTTTTATTATATTATTCTCAAGTAAAATTCTTATAGAATTTTTGCATTGAATGAAAATTAAAAAATTATAACTACTTACTATTATTATTATAAAAATATTTTACTACTTACTCAATAAAAAAAAACTTTGCTCAGAGGTCATATAAATGTGTATGATGTAACCTAATGCATTTTTTCTACAGATTACAGCAAATATGTATTACATACAAAATTAAAATAAATTTAATTAAAAATGAAAAGAAAATATCATTTAATATATAAAAAAATAGATATCGTGGATTGTTATATAGTGAACTCGTCACTTGTTTTACTAGCCGTGATTGAAGCGTGTTGGGTGTCGGTGTTCAATGCGGCGATTATATTGTTCAGCATTACATAGAAATTTGAAATCTTTTCACCATATTTCTCTTTCTTTCTCATATAATCTTACAATTCAAAAATACGTGAATATTATTTGAATGAAATCTATTTTTAAGTTTTTTAAATAAAAATTTTAAAAACTATTTCGAAATTTTCTCTATAAATAGGCACAGTAGGTAATTTATTACTTCTCTGATTTTTACTCCGATTGAATGGCAATGTCCAATACAAACATAAATCTGTATGGTCAATTGGTAAGAAATAAGAATATCAAACCTCTGATCTATAGATAGATATATATAGATCCTCTATATATATATATATATATATATATATATATATATATATATATATATATATATATATATATATATATGCACAGAGCAATGCTTATCAGATGCATTCGACAATGCGCTATGACACTCGTAACTTCATGTAGGTACACCTTGATGCCTAACGGTGTACTAAAATTCCTAAAGTTAATTCGGTCATGTAATCGAATCAACCAGTTTAGTCTAAAATCTGAAGTTTTTAAGAAACTTCTAAAAGTTTAGACTAAACTGGTTTTAAGTGATTCGGAGAAAAACTATTTCAATTCAATTCTCTTGTCCACTTGCTCCTAGGAGTGTCATTTGGGCACCATTTACTTCGCCAATGTCGAAAAACCTTTTACTAAAGAGATTTTTTTCTCATATCTTATGTCATTATAAACTTGAAAACAAAAAAAAACTCTTATAAATTAAAATGTAACACTACATATAAAATCAATATTATGTTATCACAAAAAGATAAAATGGCAATACTGTTAATGTTACGCCATATCTTCGCCAATTGTAAGGCAATTTTGATAATTCTCTTTTTTACAAGCTTTTTATTATTTAGTTTCACCTGTCCCGGTGTTGGTAATGAAACCATGCAAGATTTTGATTTTATTTAAATGCTCTAAAAAGAAGAAAATAAATGTTAAATAAAATCAAACTCATCAATTTATTACATTACACAATTTATATGATGTAAAATCTCGTCGCGAGATTTACCTGTGTAGATAAACAAGAAACAAAATGTTAAAAAAAAATAATGTTTTTTTTAATAAAATGAATAAGCCATACTTTAAAGGTCAAATAATTACTAATTTAAAATGGTTTTTACGTCAATGGGCGTTTTAATTAATAAGAAGATAATTATAAGATTATCTCGCAGAGCCCGCGGCTACACCCACGTTCAATCTATAAAATATAAACTCTTTTGCTTTATGTTATACAGCGACTCACCCTCGCATCGCTCGGGTTCGTCGCTACGTACCTATTTATATATAATTCATACAAAAATATTAAAATCGCGGTTAAAAAATGGGGGGTGGGGGTAGGAGGGTGAAAAATACTTTACGACCAATTCTCATACGTACCAAATATACAAAAAAAAACATTAAAATCGGTCGAGCCGTTTCAGAGGAGTGCGACCACAAACAGCGTGACACGAAATTTTTATATATCAGATTAGACAAATGTATTTGTTGTTCAAATCTATATAGCTTTTTTATGTACTTTAAAGCTTTTTTATTTACTACACTATATTAAGTTATGGTCTTAAGAGTGGCATATTCAATCATCTGTAGGGTCAGGATTAGGTATCTAATATGATAGCGTCAACACTGTAATCTGTACATATCCCCTATGACACCACTTAACAAGTCTATATTGGTACTTCAGCTTCATCTTAGCTTATTCACGGTGCATGTTGCCCGGCCCCTCTTCCTGTGCAACACATCGGACGATTTACCAATTTACCTCGTCAAAACGCCTAATATACTTCGAATGGGTTAAACAGGCTATTTTACAATTGTTTCGTGGTCCCTTTGTGCAGTAAACCGTGAGATGAGAGAAATCATCAATTTTACAAAGGATTCATTTAAATAGATTTAGTGAATGTTAATCAAATTGTATGGTAAAATTATTACAGTTGAATAATTTTGATTAAATATTTAAAAGTACATAGTTTGTATATAATACTAGTGACTATACTAGGTACGTTTTAAATAGATATGAATAGTTATTGCGAGTGTACCTTAGAAGAAAGACTTATGCTATTGCAGATTTTTCTGTAAGTAGTCCATATTAAGACCTACAATTTTATAGTGCACTGTTTTGAGGTATCTCTTAACACGTACAACGGGCAATGCTACCTAAGTACGGAAAAAGCCGTGCAAGAAGAAGAGGTATCTGTTAAAGTTTAGCCAGCGTTGAACATGTAAATTTCTAAGAACGACTCAATAGAACCAGTTATTATGCTTTCCCGTGGGAATGAAGGTTTTTCTGTAGTAAAAGATATCCTAAGTGTTGACCTGAGTACTAAGTTATCACTACACAAAATTTAGTTAAAATCAGTTCAGTGCTTTTTGCGTGAAACGCGCACATTGATTTCGCTAAGTTTCTGTTTTATTATATCTATACTAATACATGGAGAGCAGATTTTTTTGTTCGGTTATACTGCGATAACTACTGAACCGATCGGAATAATACTCATACCATAAGATGCAGCGTGTTTCGGGGAAGGTTTTAGTATATGATATGTTGGCGATTAATGTACTATGCGGGCAGAGCCGCAGGATAACGCTAGTGTATAGATAATTAGGATTTTTAAAAACCGCTAATCTTGTTATGGTAATACAATATATATCTTCATTCTTAATTAGAGAATATATAATTAAATAATTACATGATCTGGGTAACGATTGTTTGCATTAGATAGTAAAAATGAAGGTTATAAGGTTCTTATTATCGTATGTTTATACAGATGAATGTTTATGGTCATTAATAATTGTTGCTATAAAGAATTACAGATAAATGTGTTTGTTGATGTATGACCCATTATAGGTATTATGTAGGTACCTATAGCTTTGAGTAATGAGTTATAATGAAAAATATAACATCTTACGGGTTACAATAAAAAATCGGTCAAGTGCGAGTCGAATTCGTATACGAAGTGTTCTGGACCATCGTACACGTGGTGTTTACTTTATGTATGTAGTATATTAATTTTGATGATCGATTACAAACGTTAAAAAAAGTTTCTTGTATTTTTATTTATTTTTATAATTTTTGTTATAGCGGCAATAGAAATATCTACTTACTCTGTGAAAATTTTAACTCTCTACCTATTGAGTTTCCTAAGATACAGCACTCTTGACAGACAGACGGACGGACGGAGAGCGGAGACGTAGTAATAAGGTTCCGTTGGCACCCGTCGTGTACGGAACCGTAAAAAGGATATTTTTGAGAGAGTATTTTTTTAAAGATCTACATAATGTAATGACACTAGAAATTAAGTTGATAATAAATAAACGTATCTATAATTATCTAGAATCCTTAATTATTTTGATTTGAAAATTATCAAACCTAACTACGTACATAAAATAAAGTTGTTTAAAAATACGTGCACAGGTATATATATCGTAGAAGAACACATTCTTAAAATACAATCAATTTTTTCCTTTTTTCCGTTTCACTTTGAAATCAAAGCTTAAATAATTTTATTTATCAATCAACTAAAATCACTTGTCGTCTTTGTAACGTCGGAGACTCTAACATGTACGTACTTTTAACTAGAAAAGTAACACCTATGTCAAAAAACATCAACCTTTAAACCATCGGTACAACGTAATCAACAAACTTTTTCGTAAACAACAATTTTTTTCCTTTGTAACCTTGTTACAAAGGGAAAAATGATTTTATGTTAGTTGTAACGGGCTTTTATGTTATAATATTTTATATTACAATCGGTTAAGTTTTGTAAAAAAAATTAAACGTGAGGGGTCTATGGAACCCTCTCTTCCGACCGGATACCCCCGGTAGGAACAAAGATCCTTTCGCTTTTTGGTAGAGGTTTGCTATACAGTCTTTATAATTTATATTATAAAAGTTACAAGTAATTCTGATCGTAAACATTTTTTTGGGTCGTATTATAACGTTTTTCCCCTTAGGAATGAGCAATGAAACAAAAGCATGAGAATGAAAAGTAGCCTATGTCACTCTACAGCCCTTTTTTGTGTGGATGTAGTTGGACTATCTCCACACATAAAATCAGGCCAATCTGTCACTCCATTTTGACGTGAAAGAAGGACAAACAAACGAATAAACCAACAAATACACTTTCACATTTATAATATTAGTATAGATATATAAAATAAATGATGATAAATTAAACACTGAATGATCTGGAACAACTAAGTTTTTTTTTTAATTTTAGAAAGAAACATTAATGATTTACTATAAAAAGATAAATAAAAGTTAAAAAATCCAAAGAGAGCCGTAGAGCCTTTCGGCGCGCGGGAGAGCTGTGTGCGGCGATGCATATACATAGTTCATAACCGCCTGTAACTATAACAAGAAGTGTCGGAAAAAAGTCTTATTACACTTTTTCGGTTTCGCTTCCATCCGCTCAGAGCGTGTAACGCGCGATAAGGAACTTAAAAAATTTGAATAAATAATGCATATTTTCTAACCTTATAAAAACATTTTTATTATAAATAATTTTAATAATGATAATCTTTAGGTGTTCTCGCCGAATACAAGATCACCGATGAGCAACGTGAACAATATAAGAAATTTATTAAGGAAGCGTGCACAAAGAACGGTGCTGAAGACAAGGTGGACGCTGTAGAGGTACATCTCATTTATACAAATTTCTATTTGAAATTTAATCAAAGTTATTTCAATACTAATAATAATTATCTATACATAAATGGATTCACGAATATTTATTATTATTTTGATAACTGTATAACTCAAACTTAATGCCCCCTCGATACCAACCCACCCTAAAAATAAAAAATAAATAATTAACCTATTTGTAAATATCGTATGTCAATTAAATTACATATTTTATTATTTCACTTGGTATAGTTCTAGAACAATAAAAAATATTTCAAATGATACGTTGATTTTTAGGAAACAGTCAGAACCTTTGTGGACTGCGTAAAAAGTATGTTTGATGTTGATACTATTAAAAATGAGATCGAAGAGGCCAAACCTAGAGGTGCACTTGATGAGGTATTCAAAAAGTAAGTTTTATTCTGTTATAATAATAAGTACCTGGGCGACGGAGCTTCGCTCGAAATTTTTGGCCAAAACTATAATTTTCTTAATACTTTCTTAGATTTACGCGAATGTTTGACATTTTAAATAAATTATTAATTATATTAAAAATATAATTCTCTTTTTAATTTGGTTTAAAAAACAAAAAAAAACTTGAATAAATACAAAAAAAAACAAAAGTAAAAACTTTGTATCCCACTGGGTTTCGAACCCGGACCGGTGATTGTCTAAAAACTGTGAAAACTCGAAAATACGCGTTTTCCGTGAAATAAGACTAACCTACATCGATTTTTCGCTCCCGAGAAACCCCACGTACCAAATATCAGCGAAATTGTTAGAACCGTTTTCGAGGTAGCCGGTATAAATAAATATACAAGAATTGCTCGTTTGAATATGTTAAATGGATTTATGTAAAAATATAATTACTTTAATAATTTAAATATTGAGAGAGGGTATGTATGCAGTGTGTGCCTACTATGTAATTCTAAATTCTTTGATTTCCTAACTTATAGCTACCCATAAATCTAATGCAAGCCTCATTTACAGTTTAAAAAGTAATCCTGGAAATTGATTACAAGAATCTAATAATTCTGTAATTATTACAGGTACTGTGCAAAGTCTCCTCAACTAAAGACCTGCTTGCACACCTTCACAGCGGGCATATCACCTTGTTTGGACCCCGTCATACGAGAACACATTGGCGCCGCTGATAACACCACAGACCAGTTCATCGACTTCGTATGTCATAAGGACGGTGACAGAATAGCTCGTAAGTACTTTTTTGTTATGCCACAAAAATTACACTCCGAGACACATAGATGTCAGTACTTCCTATTGTCTAAGTCATTCAAATTAGGTGAAATTGTAATGCGATTTAAGTATTGTCATTTTGAACTTTACAATAATCATTTACTCTTCATCTTCTTGAAGATATTCAAAATTCTGTAGGTATTATTATTATTAGCAAGATACTCTCTTAAAGAATACATACCTTCTATTTCATACATTTTACTTAATACGGTTTATCCTATGCAGTGTTCATTGCGGAAAGCGGACCCGAATGCTTGAAAGAAAAGGTCGGACCTATCCGCGAATGCGGCACAAAATTAATGCAAAACGTCAAGAGCGTCGATGACGCTAAGAAATTGACACTAACCGTAAGTTTGAAAAAAAAATAATATAGTTTAAAATTTTCAGGTGTGACAGTGTTTGAAATTAGTGTCGCCACTTAATCCGGAGATCACGGGTTTGATTCCCGCATGGTACCAATATTATTAATCATAGTTACATACATAACTTTATAATTTTAAGAGCAGAATATTCGTGTTTTCGAAAACAATTTATTAATAGCTATGAATCTTTCTAACTATTAAAAATACACGAATATAGAAAAGAGATAAAATAAAATGACATTGTCACCTTTTCGATACATACTCAACAAAGATAAAACTGATAATGTTTATTTTCTTTAACAGGAGCAATGTGCTAAGTACGATGAGTTTACAGCTTGCACAGTGAAGGCGCTGGAGGAGTGCTCTACCCCCACCCCCGGCAACATGGCGGAATCTCTCTTTAGATTTGTACGCAAAACTTCCCCTTGCAATAAGGTAAAACTATAAAATATTCTCAATTACGTTTAAAATATTTTAATTTAGAATGAGGCATTTACTAACAAGTAGATATTGAATATGCAACATAACCTTACCTACACTCATAATCGTAAAAAAAGAAAAATATAGAGCTCCTTATTATGGTATCTGTAAAAAAACAATTTAATTATATATTTCTTATATTTGTTTTTTGCTAATACGAAAATCTGGCGCGGTCTAATTTCTCAATAGAAGAATGTCCATTACTTTGTTTAAATGCACTCCCTTGAAAAAAATCTAGTCTGAATTTTATTGTAATAAGCTTCTTTAAAATAAAACATTTTAATCGTTAAGGTATCACCAAAAATAAAGTTTAAGTTTCAATACAAATCACGGGGCGAGATTGAGTTATTTAGGTTTATGCAACTTTTTGAAAATTTATATTATATACAGCAAAAAAAAATATCTATATAATTATATAAATATAATATACTAGCAGAACCCGCGGCTTCGCTCGCGCTATAACTGTAAAAAAACTCTAAAAAGTGAGTTTCATACAAACTTTCACTCCTAATAATAGGATGATATACGAAAAATGCTAAAACACGTGTTTATTTAATTTTATTAAAAAGCATTAATTACCAAGTTTCAAGTAATTATGATAAATTTTTTTTTTTGAATTGTATTATAACGTGTTTTCCCGTGGGAATTAGATAGTCTCCCGCGGTAAAAAATAGTCTATGTCACTCTCCAGCCCTCCAACTAACTCCACACAAAAAATCACGCTAATCCGTCACTCCGTTTCGACGTGAAAGAAGGACAAACAAACACACTTTCACATTTATAATAGTAATATGGATGTATTTCCATTAAAAATAATTTATTATTATAAAAAAAATAATTATTTTTCGCTTTTGTTTCAGAACTAATTTGCGCAATTTCATGGCGCATAATTGAAGACTGTGAAGAATTATCATTTGTTACACTACACACTATTAATACTATAAATAATTAATTTACAATAAACAAATAAATCCCATTTTTATATAATTAATAATTTATATTATTATTAGTGTAACACATTAATTGACATTTAAATCAAAATATTATATATAACGTGAAAAATGAAATAAAAGCCTTTTAATTACACCCAATTTAGTTTTAAATATACCAAGAAAAAAAATCAAAGAGTGCGTGTATGAATGTGTACACGCGCCAGTAGTAAAACTTCTGTAGGTAATCAAAATAAAAAAAATAATAAGGATAGGTGAGATACTAAAAAAACGTGTGTGTGTGTGTTCGTAAAAGAAATGATAAATTTTAATAAAAATAATTAAATAAAGCATATTAGGCATATTCCAATCATATACTTATAGAATGTCATTTAAGGAAAGAATATAATATTATATATCATTTGTCGGACAATAACAACGATTACCATGGCAACAAACGTTCGCCTCGCCCGATTACACTTTTCGTAACGCTCTCGTCACGCATTTACCAGCTTAATCCCCAAGTCAAGCGTGCGTAAAGTTTTAATTAAACAAAAATAAGATTCTTAATAAATAATAGAATAGACAGATAGTTTAAACCTATATATAATTATTCTTTTAAATTAAAAAATAATGAGATAAAAAATAATGATTATCAAATCAACCCTTAATAAGTTGGAACTGCGTATTCATAGATAATAAGCTTAAAATAAGCCATTTACAAATTATAAGTTGCTTACTTCGGTTTGTATACTGCGGAATGTACTAACTAGACCGAGTCTGTATTATAGACGGCAGTTTTCTTCCTCTATAATGGAAAAGAATATAATATATAAACTTAGATTATATTTAACTAAAAAAAAACAAACACAATAATAACAATGACATTAGAAAGTCATTTTTATACTTCAACATGATATGATGGCGCTGTATATATTTTCTCAATTATTTATCTCGATACCAAATGGTCATAATCGTCCATTTTTTATTCTTGCGTTTTGCTATAATTTACATATTTCATTACAAACAATTTTAGTATTTTTGGTTAATTTCCAACTTTCAGGCCAAACGAAATTCGGATCACCAATTCTCTACCCGACTAGAGCCTTCTCTACCAGCGAGCTAGATAAGTATATTTTTTAAACGTTTCGTGGACAAAAGTATTAAAAATCGGTCAAGTGCGAGTCGAATTGGCACACGAAGGGTTTTGTACCATTGTACAAATAGTTTTTATTAATATGACTTTTACTCTATGTACCTATGTAGTATATTAACTTCGATGATCCATTACGAACTTTAAAAAATGTTTCTTGTATTTATATTTTTTTTATTTATTTTTATTATTTGATGCTATAGCGGCAATAGATATACATACTCTGTGAAATTTTCAACTACCTATTACGGTTCATGAGATAGGGCCCTCTGACAGATGGACGGACGGACAGCGGAGGCTACTAATACTAGGGTTCGGTTGCCAACGGCCCCATGGGTACGGAACCCTAAAAATTGTTTGATTAGTGCTGAATTGTTGTCTTAGTACTGTTTTCATTTCTAAAAACTTAATTGTAGGAAAGCGATGAACGTATAAACGTCCCAAAATATGACCTGCTTACACCTTACTGCAAAGAGGTTGCGGCCAAGTGCGCAACGGCAGCTATCATTTTTCAAGATCTCTACGTATAGTTCTGTGAAGTGGAGTATAATTCATTGTAATAACAAATGCATCGTTTTTGTTCCAAAAAGTCGACTATTATTTAGTTAATTAAACATACTAGCGGGCACATTTGAATACGCACCCCGGTCAAAACTTATTGTCCCTATTATTATTGTATATAAAAAAATGATTTCGATTAAATACACTATGAACGTAGCAATCTTGCAGCGGGATCTCGATTCATTAATAATAATTAATAATATAATAATAATGTCCTCGCGACCGATTCGGCCACGGCGACTAATCTCATTGAGACTAACCGTTCAGGAGATATTTTATACTTGTGTATACGCGCAGACACAAGTGCTCTCTTTATTCCTGTCACTCTCATACTCCGGTGGGACGATACGGGACACGACCGGTGTGTGAAGGCGCATGACCAACACAACACGTGCTTTCCAATGCACGGAGGTGACACACCTTTAAATTTTCAACTCTAAAAACTTACTGAGATTTCGTTGACAGAAATACACAATAACTGAACTTAGCCCGAGCCGGGACTCGAACCCAGAACCTCCGAATCTGCGGCCGTACACACTAGTCACTGAACCACCGAGGCAGTAACTTTCATAGTTTGCATTAGTTAACTAGTTGTAATTTGTGAACATTACACAAAGTCAAAAAATATATATAACGTTAGGGGTAAAGTAGGAAATATGTAACAGGTAAAAATAAAAGTCTATGTAACATTATACCACCATTTTATAAAGCAACATACATTACAATGATTATCGCAACACTGCTAAATCACTACACCCTCACTATTTGCTACATATCATAGAAAAATAGCAAAATATCACATCATACTTTAAAATAAATTCTATAACAAAATATTATAAATATATAAAACATGTCAAATTAAAGGAATGTAAAAATTAATGAAATACATATTTGATACATAATTACAAAATTATATGAATTTAAGCGATATCTAGTAGGCCGGTGTTGTCTATACATATATATTATAATAAAATAGTATGGCAATATTTTATTCAAGACAAGAAAAAAGTAAAAAAGTGTCCATTTATGAACCCTTATTATAAAAAATAAAGATATTTTCACATTTCTTTATAATATATTATATATACTCTTGACAAAACTTGTGACGTCACGGTAACGTTCGTAACGGTCTTATAGACCACGTTATTTTTTTACAACGATTTTACACTGTCTGTCTTGATATGCCGTAAATAAGTAATATATTAAAATAAATGTTTACCAGACTATTTTTTAGTAACACTGTGAGCGCTAGTCCGCCGAATTATTACATTTAAAATCAATCATTTTGGTGTTGTATAGTTTAATTATATTTAAAAATAAATCTAAATGAAATAATTAAGAAAATAAAGGTTGTATTTTCACTTATTTTAATAGCACTCACAGTCTTGTTAATAGTAATAAATATCGTCAAAAAATAAACTACTTATAAAGTTTAATATCGACTTATAATAATCCAAAAATTACACTAAAACCACTAAAAAATTACATAAAATTACAAAAAGGTCACATTTCACGTACATTTTCAACCTAACCGAGACAGACTATTCTGCCTGAAACATTTCACAACCCATACATAGGTTAGGTTAAAACATTATAGGAACCGGCCTCATTTTACAAAGCCTATAAATTAAACATATATTCATATATTACTTCACAAAAAAAAATGTGGTATTTTTTTATATTACTAAAGTATTTGAAATAATAATAAATAAAACAGATTGATCTAATACTCTTACAGTCAAGGGAAAATAAGCAATTTGGTAAAATTTAAATATACATTTGCAAAATAAAAAAAATACGAAAAAAAACTCAATTTTCACTTTTTTTCTTTGGGAAAATTGTATTAATTTTTTTTAATACTTATATTGGACGCTCATAGTTATTTTTTTGGAGGTAAGAGAGAAAACAGTTTCAATAAACACCGTCACCACCCGATATTCATTATTTTGTGAAGTAATATACGAACAGACAAAGCAAAATCAGTAAATCTGTACAAAATATAATAAAAAATAGTTTTTAAGTCTCACACACCTACGTATATTGAATAGCTTGTATTAAAAATATCTAATTCGGATGGAAGCGAAAATTTGGCGATTTTGGCATTAGAATATGAATATTTAGTGATTTATCTCGATATTGTTATAGATATGTACTATGCTATGAACGTTTGACTCGGCAATAAGGTTGAAAGAGAGAGAGTGAGAGAGAATTGTAAAATATCAAGTCATATTTTATATGAGCTTTTTGGCACTATATCATTATCAATTTTAAAAAAATCTTAAAAAATGGAGAAAAAAATCTATACCTAGTTTTCCTCTGTTATAGGGAAAGCCTTCGGCTTTATCCAAATGTCTACATGATTCATGATGAATATTCATCGAATCGAAACCCATAATGCTGTGACATAATATTATACCGTTAATATGCTGCTTCGCTTATTTTAATATTAAAAAAAAAAACAAATTAAATCAGAACAATGGACGTCTTTGACTTTTAATAGGAGGTTCCTGCAAATTTTCGCCAGCGGTGCCATCACATGAATATAAATTAAATTCTTTTGTTAATGAATGATTATAAGGATGTCAATTGAGCTCTATTTCCTTTGTAAAAATATAATCCAGAATTGTCAAACTTAGGACTATTTTTACTAATTTACTTTAAGAACGTTCAAACGAAGGTTCGAAATTCAAAACGTAATTTTTTTTATGTTGTCATATCCCAGTGGCGCCATCTAAGTTGCAATTAATGAAAAACCTCCCATTAAAATTATAAATCAATTCAAATTAGTAAAATATTAAAAAAATATGTATTTAGTTTACGTAATCTTATGGAATGGTCGCCAAGTCAAACATCCATGAAACTGCTCACGTTTACGCTTAAAGCATTCTAAGACAAATATAATTGTACGCTAAATAATCTAATTATATCATTTGGTTTCAAGTGAAACGAAAATAGCTACAAAAATAGAAATATACTTATCTACTTTGTTCACGATAAATAGCAAACTTTAGAAGATATTGAAGAATTTTGCTAAACTTCATTTATATTTATTATATGAACTGATGATTAAAAAAATTACAATCAATTACTTAAACACAATATATTTAAAACAAATAGAAAAATAAAGTAATAAAGTATTATAAAAAAAATCATTGATAATATCATTGGCATATTGAAAAATCATAATAGTATCAAATCACCGAAATTTTTAAATACTTCCAGTGTCTAAACGTTGGCGTTCAAACTTGTTATAAAGAAAGATTTATATTTTCTTAGAAACACTAATTAATTGCCAATGTTGGCTTAACATGGAACAAACATATCAAGTAAAATTATCGTCCGTAAACCGACTTTACAAAAACCAATTTTTTTTTCTTGTCCGCGCAACTAACATAATTAAGGACCAATATTTGAACAAACATTAATAGAAGTTTCTAGCAAAATTGTTCAATGACCTTTGGTAATGTAAATGAAACTAAAGTACCAGGGCATCATAGCGTACGCGGAGTTAGACGAGTAAAGCGAGGGCAAACACGCCCATTGCTAGCGATTTTGTTAAACTGTTGGCCGAGTTGGGCGCCTTCTTCGCCGTGTCGTCCTGAAAATATAAAATTTTCTATGTAGTAAATATTGTACTATTTATTTTTGTGTATATATTACAGACTCATACTTTGTACTTTGTTTCTTTTTATGATAAATTAAAAAAAAGCAAAAAAAAAACCTTAAATGGCACAGACTTAAATTATAAAATAGTGCGTGAAAAACGCAGTGATCGATGCTTGAAAGTCTTTTCTCTTCTAGTCTTTGTAATAAACCTGCTATATTAGGATTAGCACTTAGACTAAAGAAAAAACGGGGAACAAAACGGAGGCTGCCAGAAGCTCTTAATTATTTTCACCTGATCAACAACTAACAATAGAAATTAAGCGATTACATACGAGCACAGATGAGGCATAATATAATGACGTGCAGTAATTATTATAAAGATTTCTAAGAATAAATTTAAAATTATTCATTCTACCTAATGCTGTCTAAGATATACGCGAATTTTACTTGGCATTTTAAATTAAAACTATTTTCAAAGCATTCGAAACGCCGGGAACCAAAAAGCTAAATAAAACCGTGAAACAAAATCTATTCAATACAATATATCTAAAAAAGAATATCAGTATCTAACAATTACAAAGCACTCGAAACTCCTAACTTACAGTTTGACTTCTCGCATTGCCTTCCTCTTTATCCTAATAAAAATGTTATATTTATGATCATTAGGAAAATATATAATGTATATTCCCACAAAAATGTTAATTGGACTTTCAATACAATTCAAGGCTTTATTAATATTTATGACACACATAAAAAAATCTAACATTAAATACTTCTTAAGTAGAAATTTAACACGTTTTTGGGACAAATTAGTAAAACTTCCACATAAACATTTAGCAAAATCACATAAAAATATTGTTAGCCAACGAATAGGTAATTATAAACTTATACAAATAGGAAACTTACTGGCAATTCCTTGCACGGTGTGGATTTTCTTGCGAATTTGAAAAGTGATTCGACGATATTCGCAGAAGTGGGGGCTGAGCATGTCTCCAGAGCTGATACTACACAGATTTGAAGATCAGCTAATTTGTTGCATTCTTTATCCTATAATATAATTTATTTATTTCATAAGCACATTTACAATAAAGTATAAACATATTAAACATTACACACTAAATTATATGAAGAGTAACACGCTCACTTATACGTATATCAATAACGAGCGTACATACCATCACCAACAAATACATGTAAAACAGTAAAACATTGAGAAGGAAATGTAAATGATCAATGTAAATGAAGATCGGTGAATTTTTTTTTGAAGACAGCATAAAACTTATGGAATATGTCGATGCCAGGTAATGCTCGAGATACTTCATTATATTTCGCACGTATGCGAGCCACGGGAGCTTGCTTACCAAAATGCGTTCTAGCGAAATTAGAAGCGATATCTACTTGGTACTGGTAAGAAAATCCGTTCAAGCAGCAAATAGATATATAGATTTAATCTTATATTAATTATTTACTGAATACGTACATACATACATACATTAATTATTTATTAAAGAAATGAACTAGTAGGATATAAATGATTTTTTTTTATTCTATTGATGTGTGACACACGTAAAAAAAGAAATAATATAGTATAGTTCTTTACAATAATTTGAGTTCAATTTGAAAATTTAGTAAAAAGGCGAGTATTTTAATAGTACAAATTTTTCATAATAGCAGAAAAAAATATACGAAAGGTAAGTATAAATAGAATATAAGTATAAGTAGAATATATTAATAATAATTCTTATGTTTTATTTCTACTATATTTTTAAATACTATTGTGTCAATCTAATACATATTTGTAGAAGATATACAAAATATTATATAAGTGATTTATAATTCATGCGTGCTAAATTAATGTAAAAATTGGCTCGTACATTACTTATTTAAATAGGAAACCGGTCTTACTAGATACCTACTAATTCTTATATCTATGGAAAAAAACAAGCACGTCAAAATTGTGCAAAAAAAGACCTCGACTCATTAAGTATATGGAAGTAGCATTTATCTTGAATAACTTCGGTTTTGCTTATAAGTCTATTTATTCCGCAGGAGTTAGAAATGATTCTTTTTAACATTGGGCTTGGTAAATATCCCGTATAAACCAGAAAAACGGTTACGGGTTACGGTTTTAACATTTTACATTACATTTTAAAGTCGTGATAAGGATTGAATTCTTAACAGAACAGAACACAGTCATACAGATAAAAACCACATTCTATGAGCTGTTAAAAATCATGGTGAAGCACTTTTCACAGTATTTTGTGCAGGAAGAAGCATGACCTTATAAAGATAGTCACGGAAGTCTTGCGGAAGTTTGACAATGCCGTTTACATATCGTGAATTCTTTTTCTAAATGTAATTGTATATTGTACTAACAACTCCCTCGCTCCGCTGGAATTCGTCCCTACTTACGTTTTAACGTTTAGTATTGATTTATTAGCGATGAGATATTTTCCCGCTGTAAAAATTATCCTATATAATGACCAGGATGTCCAGCTATCACCATACCAAATTTCATCAACATCTGCCCAGTGGTTTTGTCGTCATACGGTCACAGACAGACAGACAAAAATTCTAAAAACTATAGATTCGGCCTCTGTATCGATAATAATATCTAATTCAATAAGATTTTCCAAAAAAAATTAATGTACAGATTCGGGTCAGTTACAATCTTATTACCTATATTAATAGATAGATGATATGCGACCTTTTTTTATTACCCGTTAGACTCAAACACCGAAAACGATTATTGTCCGAAAAGTATTTAAGCCCATGCATATTATGTCACAGGTATATTTATGTAAATACTCTCTTATTAATTAAATAATTTACTCACCCCAAACTTTATTTCAGGAATGTTAAACAAGGGTAACTTCTCAGGGTCGAATTGCATCTCCGACCCTAGGGTACTGTTCAAACAAGACTCTATTTCCGTTTTCTTCTCGTTGAAGCATTCGGGTCCATTCTCCGCTATGAACACTGATAATAAAATAAATACATATTAAAATTTTATCACCTTAATTTTACCTCAATTCAAGTTACTCGTAACACGTAAATCAGGGCTATTAAAATTATTTTTAACTTATTTTTAGGGTTCCGTGCCCAAAGGGTGCCAATGGAACCCTGTTATTATGCTTTCGCTGCCCGTCCATCTGTCTGTCAGAGGGCTATATCTCATGAACCGCAATAATCATCGGATTTAATGCATACATAGTAAAAGACATTAATAAAAAGTGCATATACGATGGTACCCTGAACCTGAACCCTTCGTGTACGAATTCGACTCGTACTTGACCGATTTTTTTATAAGGTACCATTACCTCCCATATATACCCATATACAATAGGACCATAAGAAAGAATAGAAACCATTACCTAACATAGTAACACTAAATTTAATACGCGAACACTCACGTGCGTCTAAAGTTGGTTGCGAATATTTTTATCACATACAAGGTTAAAATCGCTATAAACAGGTTGTTTGTTATTGTTTCATTTTACATATCTCAAAGTTCATATATAATACGTACGTTTTTACTATATATTTTGTACCTCACATTAAATAGCATTCAAAATTATATTTATAATAAGTATATATTATTTACTACACTGTAAAGTTAAATTAAATGTAAATGCAAAGGTTGTTTCTAAGAGATCTTTTCCAGGATATATTAAGCATGTGAGACAGACCGGGCAATATAGTGCAAGCGTAAGATTATATACATATATACACAGTTTAAACACTACTTATTGTACAGACTGACATAAAAATACTAATGAAGATATTATCATGGATCATTTTAGGAAATTTCCATACTTTACTTAAAACTTCCAGTATGCTCATTAAGGAAAATTCAAATTATAAAATCAATATTATGTCGTCACGTGTACACTAAAATAAAAAAATAAAAACTTGGATAAATAACCCGATTTTTTATTAGCCAATGCTTTTTTCTCTGCTTGAAAAATGAAAACTTTACTAAGAATTATGTTTATAATTTTAATAAACATAAAAGTCTTATTATGTATAAAGATAAAACATGATTAGTGTTTGTTTTATAAAATTAAGGCAATAAGCGAAAATACTTGCTAGTTTTTATATTCGTTGTCTATTACAATCAACGTGACATCAAGACCTTTGACTCACATTACTTACTAATAACTGCGTAATCTTCTACGAGTACACAAGAACGTTTGTGTGTGACTCGTTTTAATGACCATTTAAATAATTATTATAGTAAAAAAAGTAAAGAGGGCATTTCTAAATTGACGAAGACTCAAATGAGAACTTCTATTGACTTCCTACCTTACAACACACAGGTCAGGCTATAAACAAAATTGTCATTTTAAATAGATTTATCTATTTTTCATTTTAGGACTCTTTTAATAATCCAGTCAAATATGGATTTAGTATTGGTATCAAATGTAATAAGTTTATAACGTATACGTAACACGAGATTAGATATAATATGAGATTTTTGGACCAACAGACAAATTGTCTAAATAAAGGTGTGTAGGCGTACAAGGTTAATAGCTCCTAGACTTTCATTCTGTAGTTTACCTCTTTTTTTCTAATATGTACAATATTATTTGAACTATCAAGATGTCTAAACTTATGTAAGCGGCGCGGCTTTACGTAACTTAAAGTAAGAGGCGTACAATAAATTACCGTGTATATGGAATTACAGTATAAAGAACCTCAACGTTTCGTGAGCCTCAGTTATTAAAAAATATATTTCACAACACCTTAGCCGTCATCTGAGAATTATTATTAAACAAGTGGGAGCCACTAGTTACTGATAATGCGTTTGTTATTGAAGCTCAGCTTCATTCACATGAGGTTTTAGAATAATTATAATTTCGGTTTAAAAATGTATTTAAACATTTGTATGCATTCAGCCCTTTTTAACGTCCCACTGCTGGGCACAGCCTCCCTTCAATACGAGGGGGATCAGGCCATAGTCCACCACGCTGGCCAAGTGCGGGTTGGCGGAACTCACAAGTCTTTCGAAAACTTGCTAGGTTTTCTCAGACGTGCAGATTTCCTCACGATGTTTTCCTTCACCGTAAGACAAGTGGTAATCGTGTAAGAAATAATTCGCACATGAATATATATATATATATAATATAAATATTAGAGGTGGGAGTCCCGGGATTTGAACCCACTTCACTCGGCTTCTCAAGCGAGCGCGTTACCACGGGGCTACCACTGCCTTTAATTATTTAAACATTTAGTTATGTGTAATTGGGCTACTTAGAATATATTAAAAAAGTTGTATATGAATTACGAGAACAGTTATCAGTATACTGGGTATTGATTCATAATAAAGATACATTATTATGTACATATATTTAGGCGACCTTGTCTGACCGTCGCATGAATGGGACACATAAAGACAAAATAAAGGCAGAATTTATATAAGGTAAGTCCATTGTGCTCCATTTCTCGTGTTTTTCCGGTCTATTTCCACAAAATGCGAGGATATAAAATACCATGTGGTGACAATTTATTTCGTAAGCATTTTTATTAGGGTAGGTATCGTATTAGAATTGTAATATAGCCCTGTATCTTAATATCAAGCTGTAACTTCACGAGCAATTACGTTTTGAGCAGACGCCCATCTTTTCTCTATTTTAACGTAAATTTTCGACAAAATGTAAATTTATGATAGACGTTAAATGAAATTGTGGGTCAATAAGGAACATACGATATGGTATCTTTATGTTATTATGAAGAGGTTGTCTTACTATATTTAATCTTGGAATAATTCAACAAAAACAAAAAAAATCGGTTGTCCCACAAAACAGATGGTTATGCTGGTTAGATCCATCTGCGCGCCCCCCTCTACGAACTTTTTAAAATGACAATGTCAAGATTTGGGCTTAGCAGGAAAAAAAATCGTTTATTTTTTGATACCTACATCGAACTATTATTATAAATGCATAAATTTAAATTAAAAATAATTTATTCAGCATTAAATTCTTACAATCTTTTACTGAATGACATGAGTCTACGACGAGTTCGGAAAGAAGAAGCCTCAGACCTGAGAAGAACTCCCGAAAGAGACTCAGCGTGACTTTCCTTATCTTTTTTATAAGTACGTACATAGTTTGTATGTGTGTATGTTCGTTACTCCTGCTTATTAAAACGGCCTGACAGATTTAGATGAAATTTAAGATACAGATATTATTTTATGGCCTGGAGTAAGACATAGGTTGTCATGACTTACACGTAATATATTTTAATGTATTTAATACATATTCATAGTGATGTTCAGAGGATAGCCGTGGTCGTATGCCACTTTGTCCTAAAGCTTACGATCGCTTACTTTCGTTAGGATGTATTGTTTTTTTAGGGTTTCTCATTTGTTAAATTATGATAAGTAGTTAGGAGGGAACAGATGAACGTACATACATACATACAAAACGGTCAAAATCATAACCCTCTTTTTGCTTTGCTGTAGTCGGGTAAAAAGGAATAAGTAAAACAGAGACTCACGTGCGATTCTGTCGCCCTCTTTAAAGCATACGAATTCAGCCATTTGCTCAGTTATATTATATACAATTTTAAGATTATTTTGCTCTTCTCCTGAGAAGCAAGATTTTACAGATTCTGTTAAGTTTCGAAAGCAGCTCTTGAATGATGGCGTTTTTTCACAATACCTGAAAATTATGTATGTCTATGTTTAATCTAAAAGTACTTGTAAACAACAATCGCAGTAGATACTTTTAATATTTTTTTCTATGAATCAATCTGTCAGAACAATGATTATTATATTAGTTAGAGTAGTGTAAGTGTGCAGTAGAATTATTCAGGTATTTTTATCAAAGTTAAGAAAATACAGCTCACTTCTTGAAGACTTCATCCACTTGACCGTTAGGCTTTGCATTTTCAACTTCTTCTTGTAACTTGGAAGGATCTACCAATGTCTTTAAGCACTCGGCAAATTCCAGAAATGCTTTCTGTAACAACAATTTTGTTACTTATATAATCACAAAAAGTCAGAAAAAATTAAAATGCTTATATAAAACAGACAACAATTTTTCTATAGATACATGACATGTACTATGTAATCTAGTCTTCACCCATTTTGGTGACGACTTTGAAACTAGCCAATTACATAGATGATATTAATTTAGCGCAACGCAAATTACAAACAAATGTACATAAAGACAACTCAATCGTAGAGAGTTTAGAGAGGTAGCAAGCAGACTTTGGTATTTGTGTTTAAGGGTTTCATGTAACAAACATCTCAATTTCTTATTATATCATAAAATATAAATTATATGGGTTCTTATGTCCCCCTGACCAATTTAGACCTTTTATATTGAGAGTTGAGACTGTCAGACGATATTGTTAGTGCATACATAAGTGTAATCAGGAAGACCATCCGACACCATCGAAGTGGCTGACCAAGAGTGACTCAGACTGTATTCTGTTACTCTCTATGATTATTATTATACACTAGCGGCTCAACCTCGCTTCGCTCGGGTTTGCTTCTAGACAAACAAAAACATCTATCCCACGTATATTCTGCATGGATAAATAGCCTATTCGGTATTCTGATGTATGAACTATATTATTATAAAATTTCATTAAAATCCAATCAGTAGTTTTTGTGTACTAAGCTTTATAAGTAACTATAGTTTTTTAACTATCCCACGGGAACTCTTTAATTTTCCGGACGAAAAGTATCTAAAATGTTGACCGGGGATTAGCCCGTGTAAAGAGACAGTGAAACAAATAAAATTGAAAAAATCTGGATTTATTCTATTTCTCTTCTTACATCCCCCTGACTTTTTTTTCTATGCACAGACATTCGACCTCTACTGTTTTGTTATACTCGTAAGTATAGATATTAAGCCGACTAAAATTAAAGAAATGTTATTCACAATTTTTAAATAGATATTACATATGGTTGTAGCCTATATTATCTATGTATTCTATATTACGCTTCATAATTTTTAAGATGACCTACATATTTTTATCTTCTACTTTTCAAACAAATATTGTTTGATTTTGTAATAGTGTTAATCCTTATCACAAAATAGTATTTCATTTATCAGAAAAATTAACTGAAGATAATTATGCCCTTTATTACGACATTTAAAATAATGAATGCTTTAAGAAATATTATTATGGATTTTATTCGCGGTCAGAGATGAGATATTTTCTCGCAATAAAAATTATCGTATATGTTGACCCCGGTGCTGTTGTTGTGAGGATAACCAGCTATCATACCAAATTTCATCAAAATTTGTCCAGTTGTTTTCTTGCAATGCGTTCCCATGCGACAGACAGGCAGACAGACAGACATAGTAATGATTATTTCAATATGATTTTCCAAAAATTTTAAATGTACAGATTCAACTCAGAATTTTATTATATGTATAGACTAGCAACTCACCCTCGCTTAGCTTAAACTTGTTTGTTCTGTATTCTGAGCTTAGTGTACTTACATGAAGTTGCGAAATGATTTTAATAAGTATTTTGTAGATACATTTCTGAATGGGGTAGCGTTAGACATGTTGACTATCCAGTCTTACAACAAGCTCACTAGGTTTCCGTTATTTTTTTATCTAGGTTATTTTATGTCAATATTACAATTGTGTAATAGAAATACAATAATCTTTCTTTTTTATATATTGGGACATTAACACACAACACCATCTAGTTCCATGATAAGCTACGAGGCCTGTGTTATGGATAACAGAAAATTGTAGTGTACACATATATAACTTTGAATACTTCCATATTATAAATATACATTATAAACACCCATTGACTGGAGTACAAACATTCGTGCTCATCACACAAATGAAAGCCCCCAGCGGGACTCAACCCGCGACCGCTGGCACAGCAAGTAGGGTCACTACAAAACTGAGCCAAACGTGTCGCAAGTATAAGATGTTTGTATATTTATAACGTGGTTTTATTGTGACGCGACAGTATCGAAGACATCCGGTAAGTATAGGTAAAATTTTATAGTATATCCTTTGTTAACTCGCTTTTATTAGCCTCACTCATCGGCCAAAAATTACTTTTTTGATCGACGGCCTCACTTATCTAACACTATGTATGTTACTTAATAATATGGTTTTGAATAGCTACATACTGCATACAGTACCTATGTAGTATATACCTATTCAAATCAAGTTACCTTTGAGTTCTAACGAGTTCCATACAGTTCATAAAAATCTAGTTGTTTCTTGCTTAACAACAATTTTATTATTGAGTATCTATAATTATCTAATGTCAATAAAAGAGAAACATATAAAAAACCACTATTAGATGTTCAATACTCACTGCAAATTATGTAGCTGTTTATTGCATTTACTTATTAATTTGTATTTAAAATGAACATTTTCAGATCACCTTTATTAAGTTAATGAATTTGACCTGTACGTAACGACTACAATAAATTATATATTAATGTTATTGGTCTAATAAACACTTTTTATGATTACCAATTACCATATTTACTTAATATAATTACATAGTTTTTTAATAGAACGAGAACGACACTATTTCCTTATATGAACATGTTATTAGTTAAAAGAAAGTACATAATAAATAATAAAACACCTTAACGGTAACAAAATATTCATGTTCCATTTGGATAATATGCAAAGGTCGTGCAAAGGCAGTTCTGATGAGAGAGCATTTGGACCGCAGCCAACGCCACCCCACTAGGTTATCTCAGAAGTGGATCCCAGATACGTTGTACATTTTGTAGATATTTGTACTCTTCGTGTTTTGTTATTTATTTCAAAAATTTTAACTCTTTTGTATTATTAAATTACTATAATTTATTTAACTTGCTATTTCATAGTCTGGCACGACAATTCGACACGACCAGTATGACATCAAGGGTAGACCGTTGACCGAAAACTAACACTAGAGGAGTAAACATTACCAACTTCCCAACTCCGGACTGGAACTGATATGACTATTTTGGCCGATCGGGATTTGAACCTAGGACCCCCCGATAACAAACAACTAACATAGTCCGTTTCATATTCGTTCTCGATAATTAATATTGATAACTATTATTATTACGTAACTCGTAAGTGAATCGACTTTTGTGTTTTCACCGACACAGGATGATCAGAGGAAATTGCCAAATTAAGTATCATAATTTGTTCATAATTTTATTTATTTTATAGAATTTGAGTTATTTCTAGTGTGTCAATGAAAATTAATCGACTTCCTGTATATAGCTTACGTGTTTCGTAAACAAACAGCTAGCGAAGCAGTTACGACATTAACGCAGCAAAATATTGAGTCATCGACCTCTAACTATAAGACTTTCTGACAAACGAATTATAAACATACATTTACTCGCTAGACATTTGACCATATTTGAAAATCAATAAAACATAATTATTAATTACCATATGTACGAATATCGTAGAAAATGGCCAAATTGATAAAAACTTAAAAATATAATACCATGTCGATGCAAAGCAAGTCTAATATATTTCGATACGTAAAATACATATTTACCTATTAGATATTCATATCTTAAAATATTGTAGGCTGACACCGATTTCGAAAATATCTGATTAGGTATCTATTGTAAATGAAAATCTCCGTTTAGTTATTTTATACATTTTAGTGCCTGGAAGTCGGTTTTTATTAAATTTTTTTGTAAGCTTTTATTTTTCCATTTTTATTGTAGACGTAATAAGCAGATAATTTGTAAGAAGAAATTTTTTAACATATTCGATTAAACAATTTATTTAAAATAAATATTTCTTGTGGTTTTTTGTAAAAAACCGCTCGACCAATTTTGATAAAATTTATATGGGAATCTGGGATGTATACACTTTGAAACAAAAAAAATATTTCCAAATCGGTTCAGCCGTCTTCGAGTAATCGGTGAACATACATTAAAAAAAAAGATTCCGACGAATTGAGAACCTCCTCCTTTTTTGAAAGTCGGTTAAAAAAATACACTTGCAAATGTTAAAGTCAATATGAAATGCAGAACCGATTTTAACTAAATTTTGTGTAGTGATAACTTATTACTCGGGTCCACATTTAGGGTACTTTTTACTATAGGAAAATCCTTGATTCCTGCGGGAGATCAATACATGTAGAATACATACATATACATACATATTGTACATAAAATACATATAGAATGGTTTTCAAAAAATCCAAAATCGACCAAATCGATTCATTGTAGCTGGGTTCCGAGATATTATAAACTTAATTGCACTCGACTAATACATTTAGTAGAGCAGTTAAAAAAATTGATTCTTCGCCATGTACATTGTACACAGCTACTATATTAACATGCGTCGTGATTTGGCTATCTACTACCTAGGCCTTTCCGCCAATCTAATTAAAAGTTTCTTAAACCAAAAATTAAGTCATATCATTAATTATGTGTATATCTGTTAATTGATTTTAAATCGATTTAACTGTTTAAACAGTAAGAATCATTTTAAATAATTTAAATGGATAGTCCCTTGATATTAATTAAAAGTAAGTACATACGTACACTATGAAAAACTGAAAGTCTTATAGCTAAATTAAAAACTAGCCTTTGCTTATCAATACACCTTGCCCTTCCTACAGTGTCCAAAGTACTCGTACGTAAATCGCTGAAGTGTTCTCGGGACTAAATGGCTAAAAATATTTTTTTCTTTCCCAAAGATTATTTATGTTATAAAATTTACTTGCAATTGATAAAAATGGAATATTCATAAGTGATTATGGGTTTATTTCATTTAATAATAATATTTCTGTATCATTGTAATACAATAGTTAAGAATCATTAAAATACAGTATACATTTTCCCAATTATTATTAAATACAAGGATGTATTTGCTATCTCGTAAGTCGATTAAGTATTTTACTCTACATATTTTGATAATATATTTTATAACCTTATCAGCCTTGAATTATAATAATACGTGATTTGGGTAGAATTATTTGATAAAGAATATGTACT